AACTGGTTTAATAGCATGCTATTATCTCTAAGAAAACAAACCTAAGAAATCATATGGCTAACATTTCGATTATCTTGTGGATTATTTGGAAAGAAAGAAATGAATTTTAGTTTGAAAATTTTGATATTAGTAAACTGTTCAAAGGTCACTGATCCAGGAGGCCCCATTTCTGATCATGCAGTAGTTGGTGTTCTGCGTTGGGGAAACGGTTGTAGTTTATGTTGTGCTTCTTCCCCTCTTTTGGCTAAAGCAAAGTTTTGCTTGAAGTTGTTAATTTATTTGCAGTGAGATGCAACCTGGATAATATTTTATTTTAATCAGACAGTAGTCACTTAATTTTCTGTATTAATGGTGATGAAAATTCCTGCAGCAAGACATCTATTATATTTGCAAAGCTAATAACCACTTGTGTGCAGGCAAGTCAGTTAGGTTCCTTTTGAAGAACCAAAGGAGAGCTGATCACCTGACGCAGAGCTTCAATCTCACCATCAGAGAGTCATTCACAGAATCCAAGACATAGGCCCCCAGCAGCAAAACGCAACCCAGAACATCTTAATATGAATAGAGCAGAAACAGTAGAGAGGATCTTTTCCTTTCTCAGTAATGAGTTTATCTCATATGTTGGGAAGCAATTATAGCCTGTTTCTCCGACGTTAGTTTCCTATTATTAAGAACATACATCAACCAATGTAACCAATTGAGATAAGTGTAAAAACATGCTCCATCAGATTTGAGACAAGTGTCTCAAGTTGACCAAGGATCTAACCACTTGGTCATCCAGTCTGGACTGGGCCAAATGGATATCCATTGACCCAGTAAGACCTGGAACTAGGGTCCTGAATAATCCAATATGTCTCTTTGCATAAAACATTTTCCAATATACAATCAAATAAAGTTTCTTTTATAGAAAATAATTAAATAGATAATAATTTACAAAAAAAAAGGTGAATGATTGTGGGTGAAGGTATTGCATAGAGATATCCATAAAACAGTCATCTTCCTTCAACATGTGACTTGTCACATGGCCATTGGATATTTCAACATGTTGAGGATCAAACGAGGGCCTATGGCCACTCTATCATCAACTTTGGTGCCTCAGAGAAGCAAATAAGGTAGGTTTGGTTTGAAGGAAAATCTCTAAGTGTTTGATGTTGCACCTCTTTGATTATCTTTAAAGATTAGAGAAGATCTTGGGGTGCTCATAAAAAACAAAAAAACGAATCAAACTGATGAAGCCAAATCGAACAATCCAGTTAAAAACTGGTGGTAAATCCAACCGACCTATATATATTTTTGTAGTGTATATTATAAATATAAAAAGTCAAAAAACAAAAGAATTGAACCAGTTAAAAACTAAGGACCAGTTTAGTTTAAAAAAACCCACGGTTCAAGAGCATCCCTACTAAAAAGTAGGGGTGGGTTCGAGCTGAATCGAGCCAAATACCTGGCTATTCAAGTTCAGCTTGGTATAAAAGCATTAAGCTTGAGTTTGAGCTTGATCTAGATTTGAGCTAGAGACATGAACTTAAATTCATTTCGAGCTCGATTTTGAGACAAGTTTCATATAAAAAAAATAAAAAAAAGCATACATATAAAAATAAAAAAAAATACTTATTATAATTTATATAATTAAAATTGTACATATAATATAAGTACAATTAGGCTCATGTGCTGAACTTCATTAGGCTCGAGCTTGGCTTGATGAGCAAATGAGCTTACATATTGGGTTCAAGTTTGGCTTGAAGCTTGAATAGCATGTAAAAAGTTTAGTTCCTTAGAAGGAATGTAGGTGAAGGTTAGCATTGATTCCTGTACCTGTTGTATGTTAAGTATCTGTTTGGCATCGGTGCTGTAGATACAACACCGTTTTCTCAGAAAATAGTGCTTTTGATGTGTGGGTTGGAAAAAACGATGTTTTTTTTTTTTGTTTGGAAACATTGCTGCTAGGTAGGATGTTTCCTAGAGCAACAACAACACATTCTGTTTGGTACCAGTGCTCCATATCTGTTTTCAGCACTCGTACGTACCCATTATAGGAAGTCCACGTCATTGCCACATCATGTCCTCATTGGCAACAATGAGCTCCAATATGAGAAAACGATAAATTCGACGTTTTTAATCGAGAAGGCGTGGCTTGGAACACCATTTTTTATGGAAAAACAATTCCAAGCATATTAACGTTTTTTGGAGCACCATTTTTTCCAACGTGGCGTTGATGTGTCACCATTTTCTGGAGCAACGACATCGATGCCAAACAGACGCTAAGTGAGCAACACTTAACCATATGGAAAATCTACTATCAGCCAATACAAAAACAAAAAACAAAAAACAAAGAAAAGGGAAAATCAATGATGTGGAAAAGATATGGTATGGAAAGAGTTTTGACCAATCAAAACCCGCCCATGAATTTTGATAAATAATACTATATTTGATACCACGTTTATGATTCCAATTTATTGGTAAATTATTTTTCGGATATCATATATTTTCCATATCATAGTTGAACCCAAAAAAATGATAAAAAATTACAAAAACAAAAGAAAAAGAAGAAACTCTTTCTCAAACCAACATTGATAGCATAAATACAAATTAAGAAGAGAAAATGGAGATGCGGGGTATCAATCCCCATACCTCTCACATGCTTAGCGAGTGCTCTACCATTTGAGCTACATCCCCATCATAGTCAAACACAAAAAAAAAGATAAAAAAATACAAAAACAAAAGAGAAAGAAGAAACTCTTTCTCAAGCTGATATTGATAGCATAAATGCAAATTAAGAAGAGAAAATGGAAATGCGGGGTATCAATCCCTATACCTCTCACATGCTAAGCGAGCGCTCTACCATTTGAGCTACATCCCCATCATAATCAAACAAAAAAATGATAAAAAAATACAAAAACAAAAGAGAAAGAAGAAACTCTTTCTCAAGCTGATATTGATAGCATACATGCAAATTAAGAAGAGAAAATGGAGATGTGGGGTAGGTCTGTAAACGACATTCGAAAATTTGAATTTGAATTCGAGATCCGAACCAAATGAGTCGAATTCAAATATTTGAATTGAATAAACAGTCGAATTCGAATATGTTTTATATTCCAATTAATTAGTTGAATCGAATGCGGATATAACATGATTCGATTCGACCAATATATGAGTCAATTACAATATTATAAATATATAAATTATATATTTATTTAACAATATCTACGATAATTCATAAATATATTAAGAAGTACAATGCATTATGACTTTCGGTAAAATCGCTCAATATAATGTTATTTTAATAATAAAAGTTAATGAAAAGACAACAAATAAGCTATCATTACCTTTTGAAATAAAAATTAAATTTTTAATATTTTGCAGGAGAAGCCCACCTATAGCCTATCCTTTAGCTCTAGCTTTTCAGTTCACTGTTTTCACATCGTCTCCATCCTTTCCTCATCGTCTTCGTTTCCATCCTCTCCTCAGCGTCTCCGTTCTTTCCGGTTGTAGACTTTCTCCTCAGCGTCTCCGTTCTTCCCGGTTGTAGATTTTTTCTTCAGCGTCTCCATCCTCTCTCTATCCTTCGAAGGTGATTACTGGACCTGTAAATGATTTCTATCGAGCCAAGCAAAATAAACTCAATTTCTCAACGAGGTCCTCAGAGACAATGGGCGAAAATCTGATGATTGCACCTGAATTGAATCAACAAGATAATAGATTATTGATCAATAATTTCTCTTTGAGGTGTGTTTTTCTCTGAACGTAACGAGCAACCTAATCCATCGAATTCATTTTATGTTCTTTCGTTAAATTAAGTTTGAGTGGTTAAAATTAACATATTATAGTCAATTGAATTCGAATATTCGACTTATTTGACAAATTCAAATTCGGATGATTATTTTAAAAAACTGTCGAATATCAAATCGGATTCGAACCATCCCTTGTTTAATCGGTTTCGAATTCGAATCAAGCCATATTCGATTCGAATTTGTTTTGTTTACAGGCCTAATGTGGGGCATCGATCCCCGTACCTCTCGCATGCTAAGCGAGCGCTCTACCATTTAATCTACATCCCTATTGTAGTCAAACCCAAAGAAATGATAAAAAAAATACAAAAACAAAAAGAAAGAAGAAACTCTTTCTCAAGCTGATATTGATAACATAAATACAAATTAAGAAGAGAAAATGGAGATGCGGGGTATCGATCGCCGTACCTCTTACATGCTAAACGAGCACTCTATCATTTAAATTACATTGTACATAGTGATTATTAAATCTTAATATTTTCACTTATTAGAAATCTTATATCTTTCAAATTCAAAATTTAATCCTGTAATCAGAATAGATGGGATATTAATGAATAGAACATAAAGAAAATATCGTCCCTCTCGAGGTGTAATTGTTGGTGTTTTATAGAACGCAGAATAAGGTAAAGAAAGATTAAATTCAATTGGATGCTTGATTGGATCAAGGATCTCATTGTGGATCAGTGGGGACAATAGATCTTGTTGGGTTGACAACGGTGAGTACAGTAGTAGAGATCTTCACATAGAGAGGTTGGCATTAAATAGTCATTTTACGTGGCCATCGCATCCCATGGCCCCCTTGGTGCACCTTTTATATGGACCGACCAATATATTTCGCCACATTATTTACAAATCCTCGAGTGAGAGTTTGGCCAATCACCACTTGGTTGCTGATTTGGAGGTTACTGTTCATCGTTTTCCTCTCTATAACGCACACTGAACCAGTCCCCTTCATCTGCTAATGGAGAGTATAGTAGACCTCTTCACATAGAGAGCTTGGCATTGAATAATCAGTTTACGAGGATATCGCATCCAGTGGACGCATCCGTTTACCTTTTACATAGACTCGCTGTACCACTACAACAAAAATGGCCTAAGCTGGCAGTTTAAAAATAAACCGGATTTGAACGGTGGTCTAAGAGAATAGACACGATGCTTTTAAAAATAAACCGGATTTGAACCGATCTAACAAAAGGATGCGGGAAAGCCAAAAATACTTCTCCCGCGCACTCTCCACTTCCTGTTCGACGAGACAGAAGGTCTCCTTGCAGAGAACCAGATAATAGTTTTTTTTACGAAGAAGAATATTGCAGAGGGAGAATCACTGAATCATTGCTCAAATAGAGATTGAGAAGGAAATCTAGGGTTACAAGTGTTATGCGACTCCAAATCCAGCATCAACTTTACTTGAGAAGGTGAAGATTTCTTTCAATTTGGAGATATCCAAGTCAACATCGACCCTTATTCGTTCGAGTAGGAGAAGAGAAGGTAATGCCATATCCTTCTTGGTTTAACATTTATACTTTTAAAGCAGGAGGTCGAAGGGTATAAGGGAAGGGTTTTCGATGAAAAACCCTTCGGTAATCAAGTTAGTAACCTAATGAAAAACCCTTCGAAGCCCAAAGCATCATTCTTCCCGCCTTCTTCTCTTCAATCAGTATCTGTTTGTGGCCATGGAAAACCCCGACGAGGAGAGTTTTGCCTTAACCTATGCCCTCCTTCCTCTTAATTTGCCCACCTATTCAGCTTAACAAACCCTCTGCTTCTGTTCTGTTGCCCTAAATTTGTTCAAGTGGAGTTTCCAGTAGAAAAAACCTTCTCCATCGATGCGCTTCGTGTTCATATGGTTCTTCACTGTTTTCTTTGATTTTAGAAGTGAATTATGGCTTTTCACGTAGGTTTTGTTCCTCTTCCTCCTGCACCCTCTAAGGGCAATGAGCCTAAGGCTGTGGAAAAAATTGATTACCTAAATCTTCCTTGCCCCATACTATACGTAGAAATCAATTGAGAAGCTCTAAGTGAGTCTTTTTCTTAGTATTCTATTTTTTTATGGTTTCTCACTGCCCTTTTTTTTAATGGTTTTGTAGGTTCTAGTTCATTTCCCCCTTTTAAATAATCTATTTGATCTTTGAGTGCTTTCCTCTCTAGTAATTATGACATTATCTGCATTTATTTATTTCAATCATCTTTGTTTCAATTTAGTCTGATTTGAGATCAAATGGACGGTGAATAGGTGAAATGATGGAAAACATGAATCCATTACTCCAAGATGAAATAATGGAATTATGAATTCATAGCTTATTGTCAATGGAGTTTTTGTTTATGTTGTTTTTTTCTTGTACCTGCTCATATTTTGCGTATGAGATTTCTGACGGTGTTGAAATTTTAGTGTTGTTTCTTGTGAACTTAATTTTTGACAATGTTATGAGCACTTTTGATATAATTATGTTGTTTTGCAAATTAGTTGTAGGTTGCAGATCCCCATTTAAAGGTACAGAAGCAAATATCACTTACATCGGAAATTAACGCCATCTCCTAAACATATTCCGTCATTCATTTTTTTTTGTTAGAACTGTCTCGAATATCACACGAGTAAACTTAATTTGTGAAACTTAACTTAAGCTTTATGCTTTTTGCTTGATTTAATCTACTTAATGTGTGCTAACATATGCATATGCAAATACTTTTTTTTTGGTGAACATATAGTCATATACACATGCTTGTGTACGTAAACATAGACGCATAAAAAAAAGTTTATGCCATTTGTAGGCATAGACAATTTAGATGATGATTTCTGATGAGACCTATAAATTGCAAACAACAATCAAATCATGAAAAAGTTTCTATTAGTTTCCCTTGTTTTGGGTGGTAGTGGAGAGCAGAAGTATATAGCATGAACTGAAGAGTTTATTTAGGAGAATTTGTTTACAAAAATGATGAATTGGGTTCCTTCTTTAGGTGGCAAATCATATTTTGGCCACATTGGGGAGAACGCATTGTCATTCCAATATGTTTAGCAGAGAGACTAAGAGGGGACCTTTGCATTGCTTGGGAACAGATTTTTTTACTAATTCATAGCAAGTTTTTGTTCAACTCTGTATTTCTTTCTTTTAGTCATTTAGTACAATGTTTATGAATCTACAAGTGTTTGGTGGTGATGATTTAGATACTGAATCCCCTAGAGACAATCACACTTCGGGAACAAGTTTGAAGCAACATGGAGATTCTCAAAAGTTAATTAAAGATTCCAATAGTGAACATAATGAGCAACAAGAAACATTGACAAATGGAAGTGAGAATGTTATGGGCCCGGGAATAGGATCTCGTCACGGGTCGGTCTACGGGGAAAACCCTCTGTTTTCCCTTGTTCCTCCCTGCTCTTGATGGACCTATCTAGGCGCCCTAATGGTGATTTGTTCAAGAGATCACCTAACTCTCCTTTACTCTCTTTCTTGACTGAATATTCGATATCCTCATTCAATAATGGTGTCTCCTTAAATAGGAGATTACAAGAGTCCTAATCTT